GGGTTTATAAATAATTAATCGGTGCTAGATTACTTTCTGATGAGCCACATGAAACCTCTAGGGCCTTCTCCGGTGCTTTCCGGCCGGCATTTTGCGTCACAGCTTCCTAAGAAAGGTAAAGGGTCCTCTTCCAGTCCCCAGTGGAAAAACTCGCGCCGTCCCGCAGGGCCACAGCCCAGCGCGCGCGGGAGGGACCATCTGCTGTCTGGGCGCGGGTCACGCTGCGCCGCAGGCGGACGCGTCCCCGCGCAGCTCGGGGTGGACAGACGCGCGGACAGACAGACCCACGTGCAATGCGTCCCGCGCCCCAGAGGTGCAGCTGCGCGCGTCGCCTCCCGCGTCCGGTTCCCTGGGCCGCCCCGAGACCGCCGGCGGAAATGTGCGCGGCCCCGCGTGGACAGTAGCGGAGGGCGAGGCCAGGGTCATTTCCCATCGAGCAGTCGGAAGTTTATTTCTCCCTGCTGGGGGTGCAGGAAGATGAGAAACTGGGTACTTTGGAGACACCCCCCCCAAAACGGCGTAGCTCCACGACGCCCTTCTAACTCTCGTTTGGACGGGGGCTCCTTACTCTCCATTCCTCCCCCATCCCCCAAATTCCAGTTCCCTAGGGGCGGGTGGTGAGATGGGGTACAGGTGCGTCTGGGTCCGTGCTTGGGAGGGGTCCCCCAGGGTCCCCTCGTGAGGCAGCCCATAATCGAGCGGCCGCAGCACCGAGGCCACGCTTAATGGATTCTTGCAGATAAAAGAGCCTGGCTACCTTTCTTTCCTATAATGGCCCCTGAGGCTAACGTCTTAAAGAGGAAACAAAGGGATTGTTTTACAGCACTGGCGGGGAGGGGCGGGGGTGGTGGTGGTTGGGGTGGGGGAAGACCCGCGCGCGGGGAAGGGGGAGGGGCCCCCGGCTTCTTAACCCTTCCCCTCCCGCGGCCGCCCAGGCCTCCCGAGCCTCGCGCTCGCACCCCCGGACCCCAACGGCGAGGGGGAGGCGACGCTGCTGGACGGGGCCTCCCCGCGACCCGGCCTCCGGCTCGCCTCCCCCCCTTCCGGGGCGGCTTTCTAAAGAGCCTCTGAAAGGGAGGACGGAAAAGGTCAAGGGGACCCATGTCTTGCGAGATGCCGTCTCTGGGGGGACGTGCCTCGCGA